GCGGGCGGGAAGGGCTCGGGAGGCGGTGGCCGGGGCGGGGCGGCAGGGCCGGTTACGCYGGGGGTAAAATGGCGGGCGAAGGTGGCGGTTGGGGAGCGCGGGAAAGGCGGACGGGCGGGCATGGACGTGTTGTAGCGAAATAAAGGCGAGCTGCCCCTGCGCTGTACTCCTACCCCTTCTGTTACATCCCTGATCTTATCCCCAATCCTGCCCAGGGAAAGGTGCTGCGGCAGCTGGACCTGCCTGCGGGAACTTCCTGGGGAAGTGCCTGTGCTCTCACTGCCGCTGCGCTCCTGGAGGGGCGAACTGACTTAAATGTCAGAGAACAGCACACCTGRAGGCTCCCGCCTCGTCCTAATCCAGCGCTTTGGCCTCTCTGAATGTGTGAGGGCAGAAATATGATTTTAAAAAAATATATTTTTATTTTTAGAAGGGCATAATTAATTAAATGACCCGAGGAAGGAAGAACATTCCCCAGTGGGACGAGGTTTGTATGTMTTTTTGAAGAAACAGCCCTGACTGGATAAAAATGGATAAGAGTAAAGAAAGTAACATTGTGTAACATGTTTGATCCCTCAATTTATTTTGCTCCTTCATCCGTGCAGCCCTATATAACCAGTCTGGCAACTTGGGAAGCGCTCGTGAAACCACCCTCCTGCAGAGCCACTTGGCAGCTCTGCAGCTCACGGCTGCTCTGTGCTTGTACCTGTACCTGACGTGTCTCTGCCCCATTGCTCTGCAGCAGAGACGCTCCTGCTCCTGGGGAAGAGCCCTCCTCTGTATCCCAGGCCACCCTGCAAATCTCCATCTCCGCTTGTGACCTGAGGGGTGATGAGTCTGCCTGGAAAAAATGTGATGTGCAGGCAGATAGGGGGAAAGCCTTTGCTCCAGTCCACAGGAGCACCTTCCCGCTTCTGCTCTCATTCTAATTCCATAGTCTCTTCTCATTTGTCCCAATCTAGCTGCCCACTGGAAAACAACCAAAGCAGAAACTTAGGTACTCTCAGTTGCAAACCCGTCCAACAGCAGCAAGACACAGGATTAACCCATCTTCATAAAGGTGGAGGTGCATGTTTTGTACTGCAACCTCTGTTTTATGTCATCTGCTGGCTTCAGGTTCAGCCTAAACCCAAGGGCCCTATCAATACAATGCGACTTAACCAGTCAGCCTGCCCAGCCTGTTCTCGGAATGCTCAGGTAATATGTGGAACATTTTAAAGACTGCTCAGAGCTATAAAAATGTATGTGTCTCAGGAAGGCTGTGGCCAGCTGGAATGCAACTTGGTTAGAGATACTTCTTTAGCAGGTTATGTAGGAAATAGGAGACTCTTTGGCATACATATATTGCACGTATAATGAGCAACAAGCCCATTAGGTTGGCCTGGTTTGTTTCCTTATCTTTTTAGTGATTACATTCAATTCTAATTCAACAGCTGAGAAATCAATGAAATGTATCACATTATTTTATTTTTGGAAATATTCCTTCCTTTTTGCCCAGGTCTTTCAGAGGGTGCTCCAGCTACGCATGCAGTCTTGCAATCCTAGCGCAGCCAAAAACATGACAGTATTTGTTTCAAAGGCCATATCGTAAGAAATTGTAACCCTGCCAGCTGCATTTTCATTTGGCTGCMGCTCATATCCGTGATTATTAATGGATGCTTCCTATGGAAGTTGAGGGGCTAAAAGCTTTCCTTCGCAGAGGCAGTAGCATTACATTGACTCACAGTGTGTGCAATTGCCTGAGTGACAGCAGTGAGGCTCATGGAGGGCTGAAACCTCTGCCCGCCTTGCTGAAGAACCACGTGTTGGTGTTTCAGTACTGCCATTTCTTGTCTTGAAGGACAGAAGAGACCCTTGAGAAGGGGGAGCAGTGTGTAAGGCATTGAGATGTTTCTCAGAAGAGACAGGATCCCAAATGCATGTGGAACTTAAGGAAAAATTTCTTGCCTGTGAGGGTGRCAGAGCCCTGGCACAGGCTGCCCAGGGAGGCTGTGGAGTCTCCTTCTCTGCTGGTCTTCAAACCCACCTGGATGCCGCCCTGTGCCCTGTGCTCTGGGYGTCCCTGCTGGAGAAGGGAGTTGGACTAGATGATCTCTAAAGGCCCCTTCCAACCTTAAGGATTCTGTGATGACCCCTCAGAGTAATGCACACAAGGTTTCAATTTTTCACAGGAAAATAGGAGGAATACGTATAGAGACTCAGCTCTGCTAGCACTGGGATTACCGACCACCCTCAGATCTATATGCTGACTTAAGCTCTGTGATTTGAAGCTCTGCAAGAGAAAACTCGCAGTATTTCCCAGGCAGACTTCATAGCCATCCCCTGGCTTTTCACTGCCCAGGTGCAATGGCCTCTTTGTATCAYCTGCCACAGCGCTGAGAAGGTGGCCGACTAACTGCTGTCGTGGGACATCAGATCCAGCATTTCCCTTTAACTGCAAGGAGAGCAGTGCCTGACTAAAAGGAAAGTGGGAAGGTGGCAAGGGAAACAGAGACAGAACATATTTGAAACAACACATGTGAATTAAAATGCCCACTTATGTCATAAAAAGGAATCTAAGAGAACAGGGACCTTCTGGGGAGTAGTCTGGTCCTAGTAGATGCAGGCCTCTGACTGGTGACATTTCTAACCTTGCAGGGCTGTTCTGGAGAGTTCATGTGGATGGGCAGTCCGCAGAGCTTGCTCATGTGGTAGCCACATTTAAGGTGCTGCAGCAGGGAGAAAAAATATTGCCAGTGTTAAAGGATCAGCTCCAAAGAAGAAATTAATCCGAGAAATCGAGCTTCCTACTTGATCCCAGGTAGCATGGGCAGAACTGTTGCTGATGGAGGACCTAAACAGGCACCTGCCCAAGACAGGTAGCACTAACAGCCTAGAAAATTGTAGCACCCAGAACAAGACTGTGTCTCTCCCTAATATGTCAGACCTTTGCACCACAGGTCCTGAACTCAGTGAGGATTAAATACAAATTTTCTTCTAGCAGATTTTCCTAACAGAACCATTGTCTGTTAGATGTAGAATTCAGAAAATCTTTTTATCAAGAATCCTTAATCCAAAGTGGCAAGCGGCTGCTTCCAGCTCCAGTTGTTCTTTAGCTATGTTGATGACTCCCTCTTTTAGGTGGAAGGACTAAAGATGGTGAAGATTTTCTTTTTTTTATTGAAGGCTAGACAAGAATTTTGTGCAAACAGGCACTTGTAATGATATCGCCTGACTCAGGAACATCTTGACTTCCACCACCTACCTCTTCCTACAGCATCCAGTGAAATCCATATTTCTTGGACTTCTGCAGAATGGTAAAGAGAAAATTGTGTGTTCCAAGTCATCTCTCAACCAAATATTTTGCTTAATTGCACATAAAACATGTTTTGCTTTGGAAAACTCATGGTTAATGTGGTGCCACTCATTTACACAAACCACATTTCATTTCAGGAGCAGTTACTGCTAAGTTCAGAGGCATTTGCTGTGGCTAGAATGGAAGATGAGGAAGGAGTGGCGGAATGAAATACCAGAGGATTCAGCAAAATCAGCTTAGGGCTGAATGGTTACAAGGCTCCAGAAGATCAAGGTAAGCTCTGACACACGCTGCATGGGAATGCATGCCAGAAGGAAGCCAGCGTATCCATAGGCTAGGCTGACTAATAACACAAGGAAAACATGCTACCTTTAATGAGTAATTTGCCTTTTCTGTCAATTATTAAAATTTTGGCATATTTGTATCTGAATATACATTCATAGGTACGCTAATATAGAGTTCACTATATGTATTATATATATAATAGAACTTATTGATTAAATAGGTATGCATGGTATACAGAGCAGAATTGCTGTTTAATCTGGAGTGAAAAGAAAAACAGGATTTCACTTCCACAGGTTTTCATGACAGCATCAGCAGAAATGCCCCACTCCTTTTCCTCCTAAGGCAGAAGTCACATTGCATTTCAGTACAAATGCAATTGCTTGACGCATCCACAATACAAAATCAGGTGTGGAACTGGAGAGCTCCAGCTTTCCTCCTCCTTCATCTTCCCCTCATATGCAACGGGCTAAATAACATTGCACATTCATACAAAATATAAAGATGTTTAACTGTTAAAATCACTGAGGTCACATTATCTCTCACCTAGGGAAATGAAGCCTAAGAAAGGTAGACCCTTAGCTTCCTGCTGGACACTTTGGCTCCTGCACACAATAAGGCCCCTAGGTTCACCTTTAAACATCATCCAATTCTTCAATATTTTTATTATGGACCAGAGGTTTTTAGCACTTTAAATTGGTCTCCAAAGCTTTAATGCTTTTACAATTGACAACTATATTGCATTGTATATACACAATTGTATATGTGTATATACACAATTGACAATTAGATAAAATTTTGATGCTTTCAACTTCCCTGATCCATGTACATACTTTCTTTGAGCTGCCTCCTTCACAGGACTTACTGTCCAGTGTCCCAAGTTGCAACCACTCACTTCTCCAAGAGCGGGAAACCAAGTCCGCCTCTGAAAAGGCACCGACCATAGGAATTGTACAGGCTCAACTTGTCACTTTTACAGCAGAGAGGGATTTTAAATAGAGAATGTCTTTATGCCAGACAAATTCTCTCTCTATCCTTATTCTCAAATTCCGTTAACAGGCAGAATCTGATTTGAAGATCATTGCAAGATGGGAGAATAAGGCCAGATTTTGAACTGATCCGGGGGGGAGTTCAGGGTAACATAGGGTTTTATGACTAGTAGATGCAGAGA